ACTGATAGTATTTTGGGAGTGAGACTTTTGTGTATCAGAATAAGGACTCCAGCTTTATTGTTGAGTGAAGGGGAGCCTATAACGTGCCCTACCCAGAGTTTCTTCATATGAGCAAAGTCAGTTTGACCTAGATGTGTATCTTGGAGTAGTGCTACATCTGCTCTGAGTCTGTGGAGATGATGACGTATTGCCATGCATTTATGTGGTGATCTCAAGCCCTTGACATTCCAGGAAATACGTATCATTGTGTCACATGAAAGGTGATGTGTACTGAGGTGATAGACTTGCAGGTTTGCTGAGCGCAACAATCTAATCGCTCATCATCACCACCCCATCTCTGATGGAATATGATTGACTCCCGGGGGGGGGGAAAGTCTCCAGAGAAATGTGATGAAGGAAAGTAAAAAGGGAAAGAGAGAGAGTAGAGCAGGATGTCCCAACTGGGGCCTAACTGATTGGCAAAATAAACAGTAAACCATAGCAATATACTGGACTTCACGTATATCTGCATGCTGTCCCTGTGCTATGACCAGCGTATCCGGGTAGTAGCAGAATAAATGATCTGCAACAGGGGCTCATTGGAATTGTTGAGAGGACAGAGGAGCATAGCCCCCTGACCTGTTTGGTAGTACCGAGGGGGAGTGGACTCAACAAATCGAGCTGCCAAAGTGGAACTTTTGGTCGAGGCAAGGCACAGAAAAGGGGTGTCACAATAAATGCATGTATAAATGATCAAACAGAGTGACAATTAAGTAACCACAAAACCAAGAGTGTTATCACTATCTAGCAGCAGTTAGATCTACCCGTGGACTCAAATCGAGGTAATATCTAAAGGCCTAGAAGACATATATGTAAATGACTGGAGCAGGTAGATTAATGTGAGGAGCTGTCCATATAGCACCTGTATGACTGCGTCAACTCAGAATTGGCGAGATTTGGAGGAGGCAAAGTTGGCGTTTCGGTGGATCGTTGCGGGGGCTTCGTTGATCTCTAGGACCCGAGTGTCGGGTGGGATGATGGGGAGACGTTAAAGCTTCCATGTCCCCCAAAGAATCTTAGAGATATTAAGTGGCTTCTTCTGGGTGGACGAAAGTCTTTGTGTCACCAGAGGGTGTAGTGAAGCGGAGAGTAGCCGGATAAGCCAGGGTGAACTTGTAACCCCTTTGGTATAGCGTGGCACATATTTGCTGAAAGGCCTTGCATTTGCAGGAAACATCTTGTGAATAATCAGCAAATAGGAGTAATTTGTGACCATCTATTTGCAGGGACCGTGAGTTGCAGAAAGAATTGAGAATAGCCACTCGATCAGCATAATTGAGATATTTGACGATCCTCAAGCGTAATGTGCGACGGTCATTCGAGGGCGGCCCTAGGCAATGTGCTCTCTCGACTTGGCATGGTGTGGTTATGCCAAAGCTGAGGGTATACATGTGGAACATAATTCTGGAAGTACCCCTGATGGAAATGATTCCAGAAGGCCCACAATACGTAAATTATTTCTGCGTGAGTGGCTTTCTAAATCATCTAACTTGTCTAGGATGGTTTGGTGTGTACGATTGGTCTGATATGTACCTGTACGTAGTGATTGAACGTCAGCTTCTAAATCTGACAAATGCTGCTCCACCTCAGTTAAGCGTTTGGAGTGATCACCCATATCCCTCCTAATCTGGTCAATGCCAGTGGCTACAACATTATCCACAGCTTGAGTGATTGTGGGCAGTAAGATGGAGGCGACTACTTGTGCAATCTTTTCATAAAGATCTGTGGGACTAAAAGTGCCAGGAGTGGTGCCAGGGGTAGTGAGCAGAGCTGGGAGCATTGTGACAGTGTGAGCAGGGAGGATGTTTGTACCTGCTTCAGCGTTTCTGTCAGCCTCTGTGCCTGTGGCCATTGAGGAGCTGTTATCGGTAGCCATCTTGGCTGCAGGGAGGGGGGAGCCGCATCCCTCTCCCTTTGTGGCGGGACCGGAGCTGGGCGGCGTCGGCAGGAGGAATCGCTCCATGCCAGAGTGATCGGGGATGTGTGGGGGAGTCAGGGGGGAGCCCTGTTATAATTCGCAGGAGTCCCTGATGCAGAGTGCCGGTGTTATATGCTGGGTTCCCGGGAACCACGGGTCTCACCACCTCACAGCACCAGAACCGGAAGTGCCATGGTATTCTTTAAGCATGTTTACATGGACTGTGCGCTGCTGCCGGTCACAATCGTCTATACTAATCATATAACTAGTCTCATCAATTGTGTGGAGGATCTTATAAGGTCCTTCCATGGTGTGCTGTAGCTTGTTCTGGGGGTGGGGGGACTATCTTGAGAACTTGTTGGCCCTCTGTGAACACCCATTCATGGGCCCTGCGGTCGTACTACACCTTCTGCCGTATCTGAGCTGCTTTGAGGTGGCTGTGGGCTATGGCAGAAAGTCTGGTCAGTCGCTCTCGCAGTTCCAGTACATATGATATGACTGTAGTGCCCATATCTTCATCCTTCCCAGTGCTCCCGCAGTAAGGTCAAGGGACCTCAAACTTTTTGCCTGTATAGGAGTTCAATGGGGGAGAGCCCCATGGACTCCTGCGGCACTTCCTGGTATGCAAACCGATAATGGGGGAGGAGTTTTTCCCAATCTGCCTCACTGTCCACAAAGGATTTAAGCATGCCTTTTAGGGTCCCGTTAAAGCGTTCACAGAGGCCGATTGTCTGGGGTTGGTATGGGGTGGTCTGGATGACCCATACCCCACAGGTGTGCCACAGGGATTGTATTACATCTGACATAAACTGGGTGCCTTGATCAGTTAGGAACTCACTGGGGAATCCCACGTGGGAAAAAAACGGTGACCCTGTGCAGAAATGCAAGACAGGGTTACAGCTTCCAGGTAGAAGGTCGCGTAGTCCACTATAGTGAGGATATACCTTTTCCATGACTTACTGGGGCGGTCAGAGGGCTGATGATAGTGACTGCCACTCTCTGAAAGGGCTCCTTGTTGATGGCTAGGGTATGGAGTGGAGCTCTGGGGCAATCACAGGTCCGGCAGAAGTTAGCAACGAACTGGGAGATGCCCGGCCAGTAAAATGCATGGGTCAGTCTTTTTTCTCTTCTCCTCTTCCCCGGGTGGCCAGCTAAGGGAATGTTTTGGGCGATTTGGAGCAGCGGGAACCTAAACAGTTGGGGAACTATCAGCTGTTTAGCTGCAGTTTGAGGCTGGCCTGGGCATCTTGAGTTCATCAGGCGGTACAGTAGTCCTTGCTCCCAAAAGGAGTTGCTCCCCACACTCCTTTACTGGTCCGGTATCCGCCTGGGCCCTAAATCTGCTCAGAGTGGGGTCGAAGTCCAGTTCCCCTTTAAATTTTTCCCAGTCCCAGGTCAGAGTGGTATTTAGGCCAGGGTAGGGAGCACTCACCTTATCCAGGGTGGGAGGGGGTTCCGGGTGGGCCTCTTCACCTGGAAGACCTTGACTGGCTTGGCTCCTGGTCACAGCCCTGATGTACTGGCACTGCAGCTCCCCTATTTCATTTCCAAGCAGGACATCTGCAGGGAGCCAGCTCATAACTCCAATCTGGCAGCGCTTTTCCCCAGATCCATAGTCAAGACATACTGAAGCCCTGGGAATGTGCTTCCTGGCACCACCTGCTAGTTTGATAGAGAACCCATGGTCTGGTTCGATGGCTTCCATGGGGGAAGTTCGATGTAGTTGCCAAGCCCAGCCGAGGAGAGGTGTGAGACTCGCCGCAGGAGGCAGCTCCCTGGTGCCCAACACACCACTATATGTGGGCCACGTGTGGGCGCAGAGACATGTAATGAGGAAGGGGGGGGAAGAGAGGGAGTGGGGGAGGGCCATGACATGTATTGTACACCTTTTGCTGACATAGTGGCCACTGAAGTGCCAAGAAACATGATTATGATGGCTTAACCTCCCTGGCGGTATTCCCGACGTTCCCGCGATGTCCCTCTTGCAGTGTCCCCGGCAATGTCCTCTGGCAGATGCCGGCATCGGTCATCTGGGTTCCTTCCCCTGTGAGCGTCGGGACGTACGGGGGGACGGGTTGGTGGGAAATTTGAAAAATGACATTCATTAAAATCACATAGTAAAACATTCCTGTATCAACCCATTTCACATACATTTTGTCCCGAGTGCTTTCTCTGGCGCCCTGCCTGCATTATTACTGTTCTTCTTTCTGCCTGGAAACTGAGAAATGTCCATGGCGTCCAAAAAGCGTCCCTTTAGGTCAAAATCAGTTTTAGACCGGCTAGAGAACAGCGATAGTAAATCAGAACCACTTGCAGAACTTGATAATTAGAGATGAGCGAATTATTCAAAAATTCGATTCGACTGATTCGGCGAATTCGTGGGGAAAAAATTGATTTGAGTCGAATATATTCGCTGCGAATTTAACTTATAAAAAGGGTGTTTTCTAGGCTTCAGAGAGCCTTTATATTAGTGCAGAACACTGTACCTTTAATTTAAATGCCCTTTGGAATCTGCTGGGGAAGAGAAATAATACTGTCAGTCAGTATTGACATGCAGATGAGTGCCGTCGATCTTAGAATCACCGCACACTTCACTCATTTGGGCAGTCACGGGGCCAAAACCAGAGTGTGGAGCCACAGTGTGGCGGTGGAGGCAGCAGCAATGGGAGGCCATACAGCACCCTATGACAAAATGGAACCCACCAGCAGTGTGAGGAGACCTGAAAGTGGCACATGGCAGAGTGTGGCGATGGAGACAGCAGCAATGGGAGGCCGTACAGGGACCCATGAGAGACTCTGGACTTGGCAGCAGCATGAGGAGGCGGTACAGGGGCCCATGACAGATTACGGGCCTGGCAGCAGCATGAGGAGTCGGTACGGGGGCCCATGGCAGATTACGGGCCTGGCAGCAGCAATGGGAGGCCGTACAGGGACCCATGACACACTCTGGACCTGGCAGCAGCATGAGGAGGCGGTACAGGGGCCCATGACAGATTACAGGCCTGGCAGCAGCATGAGGAGTCGGTACAGGGGCCCATGACACACTCTGGACCTGGCAGCAGCATGAGGAGTCGGTACGGGGGCCCATGGCATAATACGGGCCTAGCAGCAGCAATGGGAGGCCGTACAGGGACCCATGACACACTCTGGACCTGGCAGCAGCATGAGGAGGCGGTACAGGGGCCCATGACAGATTATGGGCCCTGGCAGCAGCATGAGGAGTCGGTACGGGGGCCCATGGCAGATTACGGGCCTGGCAGCAGCAATGGGAGGCCGTACAGGGACCCATGACACACTCTGGACCTGGCAGCAGCATGAGGAGGCGGTACAGGGGCCCATGACAGATTACGGGCCTGGCAGCAGCATGAGGAGTCGGTACGGGGCCCATGGCAGATTACGGGCCTGGCAGCAGCAATGGGAGGCCGTACAGGGACCCATGACACACTGTGGACCTGGCAGCAGCATGAGGAGGCGGTACAGGGGCCCATTACAGATTAAGGGCCTGGCAGCAGCATGAGGAGGCACGCGGGGTACATGGGCCCATGACAGATTACGGGCCTGGCAGCAGCATGAGGAGGCGGTACGGGGGCCCATGGCAGATTACGGGCCTGGCAGCAGCAATGAGAGGCCCGTAATCTGCCAGCACCCTATGACAAAATGGAACCCTTGGCTGGGGCAGGCCGAACCGCCGTATCTTTATCACGGTTTTTTTCCCAGGCCACCGAATGGCGACGCGCTGCATATGCTGACCGACGCAACGCTGTAGTCCCAACATGGGCCCCCTGGCCACGCTTGACTTTTCTGGCCACATAGTCGACATACGGCTACGTTTACTTCCTCGGGCGGCTTGACGAAAAATTGCCACACCGCCGAGTAGGAAACTTTGCCCCCGCTACTCCTCACTGGCTGACTGCTACTTCCTCCGTGCACACCGGCACCACTACTGGCCGTGGTGGTAGGCTGCAGTGGAGATGGTGCTCTACTCCCGTGGCCGTTTGCCTCCACTGACACTGCTGCGACCCTGACTGCTGCCTCCTGGCAGCAGCAATGGGAGGCCGTACAGGGACCCATGAGACACTGTGGACCTGGCAGCAGCATGAGGAGGCGGTACAGGGGCCCATGGCAGATTAGGGGCCTGGCAGCAGCAATGGGAGGCCCGTAATCTGCCAGCACCCTATGACAAAATGGAACCCAGCAGCAGTGTGAGGAGACCTGAAAGTGGCACATGGCAGAGTGTGGCGATGGAGACAGCAGCAATGGGAGGCCGTACAGGGACCCATTAGACACTGTGGACCTGGCAGCAGCATGAGAGGAGGCGGTACAGGGGCCCCATGGCAGATTAGGGGCCTGGCAGCAGCAATGGGAGGCCCATAATCTGCCAGCACCCTATGGCAAAATGGAACCCAGCAGCAGTGTGAGGAGACCTGAAAGTGGCACATGGCAGAGTGTGGCGATGGAGACAGCAGCAATGGGAGGCCGTACAGGGACACATGAGACACTGTGGACCTGGCAGCAGCAATGCGGAGGAGGCGGTACAGGGGCCCATGGCAGATTAGGGGCCTGGCAGCAGTAATGGGAGGCCGTAATCTGCCAGCACCCTATGACAAAATGGAACCCAGCAGCAGTGTGAGGAGACCTGAAAGTGGCAAATGGCAGAGTGTGGCGATGGAGACAGCAGCAATGGGAGGCGGTACAGGGACCCATGAGACACTGTGGACCTGGCAGCAGCATGAGGAGGCAGTACAGGGACCCATGAGACACTCTGGACCTGGCAAGCAGCATGAGGAGGTGGTACAGGGACCCGTGAGACACTCTGGACCTGGCAGCAGCATGAGGAGGCGGGTGGTACAGGGGCCCATGGCAGATTAGGGGCCTGGCAGCAGCAATGGGAGGCCCGTAATCTGCCAGCATCCTATGACAAAATGGAACCCAGCAGCAGTGTGAGGAGACCTGAAAGTGGCACATGGCAGAGTGTGGCGATGGAGACAGCAGCAATGGGAGGCTGTACAGGGACCCATGAGACACTCTGGACCTGGCAGCAGCATGAGGAGGCGGTACAGGGGCCCATGGCAGATTAGGGGCCTGGCAGCAGCAATGGGAGGCCCGTAATCTGCCAGCATCCTATGACAAAAATGGAACCCAGCAGCAGTGTGAGGAGACCTGAAAGTGGCACATGGCAAAGTGTGGCGATGGAGACAGCAGCAATGGGAGGCCGTACAGGGACCCATGAGACACTGTGGACCTGGCAGCAGCATGAGGAGGCGGTACAGGGGCCCATGGCAGATTAGGGGCCTGGCAGCAGCAATGGGAGGCCCGTAATCTGCCAGCATCCTATGACAAAATGGAACCCCCAGCAGCAGTGTGAGGAGACCTGAAAGTGGCACATGGCAGAGTGTGGCGATGGAGACAGCAGCAATGGGAGGCGGTACAGGGACCCATGAGACACTGTGGACCTGGCAGCAGCATGAGAGGAGGCGGTACAGGGGCCCATGGCAGATTAGGGGCCTGGCAGCAGCAATGGGAGGCCCGTAATCTGCCAGCATCCTATGACAAAATGGAACCCAGCAGCAGTGTGAGGAGACCTGAAAGTGGCACATGGCAGAGTGTGGCGATAGAGACAGCAGCAATGGGAGGCCGCACAGGGACCCATGAGACACTGTGGACCTGGCGCGAGCAGCATGAGGAGGCGGTACAGGGGCCCATGGCAGATTAGGGGCCTGGCAGCAGCAGCAATGGGAGGCCCGTAATCTGCCAGCACCCTATGACAAAATGGAACCCAGCAGCAGTGTGAGGAGACCTGAAAGTGGCACATGGAGACAGCAGCAATGGGAGGCCGTACAGGGACCCATGAGACACTGTGGACCTGGCAGCAGCATGAGGAAGCGGTACAGGGGCCCATGGCAGATTAGGGGCCTGGCAGCAGCAATGGGAGGGCCCGTAATCTGCCCCCCCCCCCCCCCTCAGCACCCTATGACAAAATGGAACCCACCAGCAGTGTGAGGAGACCTGAAAGCGGCACATGTTTGGGCATGATTCATGGCGGATTTAGTCAGTTGTGTCAGGAACTGGTGGTGGTTTGAAATCCAGACTAATCCACGCCTGATTCATTTTCACAAACGTGAGTCTCTCCACACTTTGGGTGGACAGTCGTGTCCTCCGCGGAGTTACAATACCTCCTGCCGCACTAAACACTACGCGCTCCGATGCCACGCTACTGGCCGGGCATGACAGCCTTTCAAGGGCAAAATTCAGCTAGTTGGGGCCAAAGGTCAAGTTTCGTTGCCCAGTAGTCAAGGGGATTGTCTACCTTGGTTGGCAGGGTGCTGTCCAAGTAGGCCGAAGCCTGTTGTTTGAGGTCCTGCTCCAGGTCCCACCTGATGCTGCTGCTGCTGCGGCTTGTTAGTAGTTTCCTCACTGCGCTGGTGAAGAAAGCTACTCATCATCGACTGCAGACTGAGGCAGCCGCTGCTGGTGGAGCTGCCACTGCTCCTACCACCCCAACCCCCTCCCCTGCTGCCATGGCAGCGGAAACGCGAGCGCACAGGGCCCACAGTGTCTGAGGATGGACGTTGGCGCAGAAAGGCAGAGACCAACTGACTACATAGGTGGTTTTTATAGTACTTTATTTTGGCCTCCCTCTCAGCAGGTGTGAAAAAGGCCACCATTTTTGAACGGTAGCGAGGGTCCAACAAGGTGGACAGCCAAAAGTCATCCCTCTGTCTGATGGTTATTATTCGGGCTGTCGCTACGCAAGCAACCGAGCATGCTATGGGCCATTTGTGCCAAGGATATGCGAGGGACTCCCTGCCTCCATCTCCACAGCATACTGCCACGGTGCGTCTGGGTCCTCTGTCTCCTCCTCCTCCTCTACCAGATGCTCTGCTCCTCCACTGCTGTCCGTTTTGAGTGGAAAAACCACCCATTTCACTCAATAATTCCTGAGCACCAATGTCCTCCTCTACCTCCTCCTCTTCTTCCTGTCCTGCCCCCACAGGGGTCATGTGGCGTTGAGATCTGTGCGCCACGTCTCTACCGCACCCTGACCAGCCATTGTTAACAGCATTTGTTCCAGGACGTGCAACAGAGGAATGACGTCGTTCATCCCATAGTCCTGCCGACTCACGAATAGCGTGGCCTCCTCAAAGGGCCTGAGCAAGCGGCAGGTGTCACGCATGAGCTGCCAATGGCTGACATCGAAGTTACACAGGGGAGTACCTTTATCCGCTTGTAACATCAGGAAATCGGTGATGGCCTTTCGCTGTTCGTAAAGGCGGGTCCTAACATGTGTAGGGTTGAATTCCACCTTGTTGCAAACGTCGCAGATCAGGCGATGCTGTGGAATTCCGTTCTGCCGCTGCAGCTCAAGGAGGGTGTGCTTTGCGCTGTAGGAATGGCTGAAATGCATGCAAAGTTTACGTGACATTTTAAGGATGTCCTGCAGTGGGATGGTGGATTTTAGGAACCGCGCTTGACAACCAGATTGAACACGTGAGCCATGCATGGCACATGGCACAACCTTCCTTGACGCAGAGCAGACACCACGTTCTTTCCGTTGTCCGTCAACATGGTTCTGATTTTCAGTTTGCGCGGGAGACAGCCATCTGTCGATTTCTCTGTTCATTACACTCAGAAGTTCCTCCCCTGTGTGACTACGTTTGCCAAGGCATACCAGGTGCAGCACAGCGTGACACCGTTGCGCCCTGCACATGTGATATGCCGGTCGGGGTAATGGGACTTGGCACGGGGGTGGCGGCTGAGGACACGGCGGAAGAAGAGGTGGTAGAGGCGGACATCTTTGCTGGAGGACGTGCAAACGTGGAGGCAAAAGCGGCGTGACCTGTCCCAAGTTGCTGGTGCGGCTGTGCCGGCACCACGTTCACCCAGTGGGCCGTAAATGACATGTATTGTCCCTGACCATAGTTACAGCTCCACACGTCGGCGCTGCCGTGCACTTTGGCAGAGACCGACATGCTCAAAGACTGGCCCACCATCTCTTCTACATGTGAATGCAGGGCTGGCACTGCCTTTTTGGCGAAGAAATGCCGGCTTGGCACTCTCCACCGCGGCGCGGCACAAGCCATCATTTCTCGGAAAGGTGCTGAGTCCACCACTTGGAAAGGGAGGGACTGCAGCACACCAGCAACTTGGACAGGAGGACGTTCAGCTTCTGCACCATCGGGTGCGTGCTCGCAAACTGTTGTCTCTTGGAAACGGATTCCAAGAAAGACTGCTGACGGAATTCCGTGAAGAGGAGTAGCAGGAGAAGGAGCATCTGAACGAGCGGAAGATGCCAACGAGCGACAACTCCCCTCAGCAGAGGTGTTGGAGCCTTGACTGGCTGATAGAGGGCGATTGACGTCGGGTGACGGAGCAAGTAACGGAGCGGGTGATGGAGCGGGGGCTGGGGCAGGCAGAACCGCCGTATCTTTATCACGGTTTTCCCAGGCCACCAAATGGCGACGCTGCATATGCTGACGCAATGCTGTAGTCCCAACATGGGCCCCCTGGCCACGCTTGACTTTCTGGCCACATAGTCGACATACGGCTACGTTTACTTCCTCGGGCGGCTTGACGAAAAATTGCCACACCGCCGAGTAGGAAACTTTGCCCCCGCTACTCCTCACTGGCTGACTGCTACTTCCTCTGTGCACACCGGCACCACTACTGGCCGTGGTGGTAGGCTGCAGTGGAGCTGGTGCTCTACACCCGTGGCCGTTTGCCTTCACTGACACTGCTGCGACCCTGCTGCCTCCTGGGCAACCCACGCGACTGTTTTGCTCGCTGCCAAGCTGACACCCTCTTCTCCTGATGATGCAGAAGCAATAGCCTGATGACGACGAGGCTGGTAAGTGCGATCAGCCTCATCATCATCAATTAGGGTCTCCGCCTCACTACTAGCCCCCTCGGCTGCGTGTGGGTCAGGAGACAGACCTGTCTCTAGACCGGCTACCGAGCCACTCTCCTCGCCAGTACTTCTTCGCCTGGCTGCTGAAAAGGCGGATGTCTCCCCCCGTTCCTGACCGCCCTCTGTTAGCTCTTCCTCACTGTACAGTGGGGCTGAGCCCACAGCATGCGATACTTCGCTTGGTGAGTGAACACCAAAGGACAGGGGCAGGTCGAGGACACGTGATTTCAGTGGGCTTGCTCCCGGGCCATGCCAACTAACGGTTGTGTCTGACGTACACACCGACCGTTGGCTGTAGGTGTCAGAGGTGACCTGGGAAGAGGAAGACGACCGAGCCAACCAATCGATGACGGCAGGGTTGTCGGTGGAGACACGACCGCTGGATGACACCTGGAGCACTGGCCTCTGGCTGCGACTAGTGCTGCCTTGACCCCTTCCTCTGCTGCCACGTCTGCTCGCTCCTAAAACATTGCCTCCTCTGCCACTCCTCTGCGTGTTGTCTGACATACTCTTTAATTCAACGATTCTGTGTCCCTGAGTAACAGTTCTGTGTCCCTGAGTAACAGTTCTGTGTCCCTGAGTAACAGTTCTGTGTCCCTGAGTAACAGTTCTGTGTCTGTCCCTGAGTAACAATTCTGTGTCCCTCGTAACAATTCTGTGTCCCTCAGTAACAATTCTGTGTCCCTCAGTAACAATTCTGTGTCTGTCCCTGAGTAACAATTCTGTGTCCCTGAGTAACAGTTCTGTGTCCCCTGAGTAACAGTTCTGTGTCCCTGAGTAAACATTCTGTGTCCCTCAGTAACAATTCTGTGTCTGTCCCTGAGTAACAATTCTGTGTCTGTCCCTCAGTAACAATTCTGTGTCCCTCAGTAACAATTCTGTGTCCCTGAGTAACAATTCTGTGTCCCTGAGTAACAATTCTGTGTCTGTCCCTGAGTAACAGTTCTGTGTCCCTGAGTAACAGTTCTGTGTCCCTCAGTAACAATTCTGTGTCCCTCAGTAACAATTTTCTGTGTCTGTCCCTGAGTAACAATTCTGTGTCCCTCAGTAACAATTCTGTGTCCCTCAGTAACAATTCTGTGTCCCTCAGTAACAATTCTGTGTCTGTCCCTGAGTAACAATTCTGTGTCTGTCCCTGAGTAACAAGTTCTGTGTCCCTGAGTAACATTCTGTGTCCCTGAGTAACAATTCTGTGTCCCTCAGTAACAATTCTGTGTCTGTCCCTGAGTAACAGTTCTGTGTCTGTCCTGAGTAACAGTTCTGTGTCCCTGAGTAACAGTTCTGTGTCCCTCAGTAAACATTCTGTGTCCCTCAGTAACAATTCTGTGTCCCTGAGTAACAATTATGTGTCCCCTGAGTAACAGTTCTGTGTCCCTGAGTAACAGTTCTGTGTCCCTGAGTAACAATTCTGTGTCCCTGAGTAACAATTCTGTGTCCCTCAGTAACAATTCTGTGTCTGCCAGTCCCTGAGTAACAATTCTGTGTCTGTCCCTCAGTAACAATTCTGTGTCCCCTGAGTAACAGTTTCTGTGTCCCTGAGTAACAGTTCTGTGTCCCTGAGTAACAGTTCTGTGTCCCTCAGTAACAATTCTGTGTCTGTCCCTCAGTAACAATTCTGTGTCCCTCAGTAACAATTCTGTGTCCCTCAGTAACAATTCTGTGTCCCTCAGTAACAATTCTGTGTCCCTGAGTAACAATTCTGTGTCCCTCAGTAACAATTCTGTGTCCCTGTCCATCAGTAACAGTTCTGTGTCCCTCAGTAACAATTCTGTGTCTGTCCCTGAGTAACAATTCTGTGTCCCTCAGTAACAATTCTGTGTCCCTCAGTAACAATTCTGTGTCCCTCAGTAACAATTCTGTGTCTGTCCCTGAGTAACAATTCTGTGTCCCTCAGTAACAGTTCTGTGTCCCTCAGTAACAGTTCTGTGTCCCTCAGTAACAATTCTGTGTCCCTGAGTAACAAATTCATGT